TATTATACGTAATTTCTGTATTTGTAATCAGCGTCAGATGCCTAGCGCCGACTTGTTTGATGCAGAATTATAACCTAACAAACTGTCTATAAAACTAGCAGCAAATTAACTTCGTATTTGTATCAGTCACAAAGACATAAAATAACGTACAAATTAGACTGTTACTAGCGTGTGTCAACTGCAACATGTTATTATGATTACGAATAATAGATCTGGATAAACGTGTGAGGAAATGATTACGGCCTAAATGAAAGTATTCTAATATATGGAAGGACTGAGGAAACCAAGATGATCTATCTCGAAACGGGGACCTTTCAACTTGGAATCAAATTCAGTATGACTGAGCAAACCTGCTGAGTTTACAAGCATCAAATTGTAGGGTAGTTAATTGTTCACTTACATATTGCAGAAGATGGACGTTCACATGTTTTCATTGACTCAGTATAAATGGCGCGACGCCAGAGCGAAACTTATAAATAGCGATTTCAACTCTAGGAGCTGCTGAGATTTATGTACCTTTTCCATGTTACGCGGCCGTACCAACGTCGACTATACGCTGGGATTCAGACGCTGTATTAACGCAGGGAATTATAAAGCGTTAGTTCATTTTAAGGGTTGAACCTGATTAGATGAATAGACCGTTAAGTGAAACGGAATGGACGAAAGAAAAGAAAATATTAGTTCCCCTCTAATGTTTGAAGTAGAAATGAGAAAGGTAAAATCTGCAAGAAAAATGGAAACATTACAATTTTAGGGATCCACAAAAACAAGAATCCTTCTTTGGAACACTATTATCCTAATGATTGTGTCTAAAATAAGGAAATTAATATTAACTCTGAATGATCTATTTCAGAAAAACTCGGTATAAACGCCAATGGAGGTCAGGTACTCTTGGGACTTTTCATTTCCTGTGGCAGTGGTGCAAACTTCTGATGTGGGAACAAATTAAACTTACTGTAGTGTCTTCAAGATTCTGGCGAGAGACAAAACATTGAATTAAAAGTATGCTTATAACACTGGCTAGTAACAATATGGAGCTCGAAAAATACAATTCAAATATCTTTTGAATCTTCAGAACATGACGTATGAAATTTGTAAGGAACGTAAATACAGCAGTAGGAATGACACGAGATCGGACAGAGTCTGAGGCATCAGAACCCTAAAACGCTCTACTCCAGGGGTTGGAAACGTTTTTTTTGTTGGTAAACACATTTGCATGTGCGTACCGGAGTACTTTGGCCCAAGACCATTGCGTGGTGTCGGAATATCGACTATTTAGATTCCCTGTTAGAGTTGGTAGTTCAGCACGCAGGGAATTACAAAATAATTACCTGTGGGAGTTGTGACACACTCTATATATAGTTGTAAGCTGTTCGCACGAATCAACTGCACCTGCTGCCCAGTAATTTCCAAAGTCAGTGACACTAAAGAAGGGCTACGTGCGTTGTAATAGCAAGGAAACCACCCCTAAGTCGCATCTAATTGTTAGGATTAGGGAGAAACTCCCGTCTTTTACGAACGAATTTCACTTCTAAACAAGAGTGCAATCTAAAATACGTGTAAGATTATTTTGAATGTTTCAGGTAATGAAACTGTCGTAAACAATATTTCTTTGTTCTGGATCTGTTTTACTTTAAGCACTACACAAATGCATAGACGCCTATATAACTACCTACATAGTAAATGGTCACACAGAGCTCTTCACAAAATTTCCTGTTTTTAAGTAACCAAAAATTCCATTAAAGCCCGGCACTGAAATCTGTCCCGGGCTAACGCATCCCCAAAACCCACGTCTCTTCGACCAATTGATTTCTTTAAGACTATTTCACAATGATTTTTCACATAGTTCTTATCTCAATATGCGTGTTTTAGTTCTTACTTAAATATCATGTGTTTAATTTAATATCATTTATTAATATGATAAACTTGGTATCCTACTCTGAGGAAAGATAATAGACCGAGAATTTTGTGAACTGGGAGCTGAGAATAGTATTTGAACATAAGAAAAAGGGACTAAAAGAAAGCAGGAGAGAACTACGTAATGTTACATTTCTGTCGTTCATCAGCAGGGCAAGAAAAGAATAATGAGACGGTCGGAACTTGCGACAAGCATCGGGGAAATGAGAAATGCATACAAAGTTTTAGATCCTGTAGCAGTGGCTTTTGAAACCAGAGTCTGACAAATGATGACCACATTCTCGTAGTTAAAATAATCTTAGGCCATCTTGTATATAAGTAACTAAACATTTCTCAACAATTACTTCCCACATAACACTCCTCAGATTGTGTATTAATAACCCTGAAAACAGCGTACATACGAAACACACACATGCGTCTTGAGCTTTAAAAACTGAAGAGTGAATACACGAAGTTCCAAAGTCCTTCGATTCTCGATTTAATTGATGATACTGTCAACTGCAGAGTTCACGCGGATATCGTAAAATATGAGAACAATCATAAACGG